TCACTGAGGAGAGAATGAAAATGTCCTTCCTCCCTCTGCTATTCTGATTACAATCTTGTTGCAGAGCACAGAAGTTAGAAATCCTGTCAATAATTTGAAGGGGGCAATAAAAGCAGGAGTTAGAATTTGCAGTAGTTAGAACTTCTTTTTCAGTATTTGCAAGAAAATTTTAATCACATCCAATAATGTTGCTTATTTTCTCCTTTTTAAATTCCTCTTCCTTCATACTCAAACCCTGCTCTGCCTTGTTTGGCTGGTTTCAAGAAATCTCAGAAGGCTCTGCCCATGGAAAAAGTTCACAGGATATGAAGAGAAATGGAACCATGGCTTGTGGATCTAACATCATTTCTTCAAATCAAGTTCATTTCAGGAGACGATTCAAGGGAGAAATTATCAGAAGTATTGCAACAAGGAATTATTTGGAACTTGAAGGTGAAAACAGGAACTATTTATCAGGTCAAATGCTCTTCCAATTTCCTTTGCCTCTGATCTGAACTGCCTTGATTTGTTTATTTTTATAGATAGGTCTGCTACCCTGTCAGAGAAAGTTGTTATTCTATTAGGATCTTTCTTTTCTCACTCTCTCTTTTTTTTTTTTTTTGGACACTTAAATAAAAAATTTATGTTAAAATTATCTTTTAATACTATTTTGATTAAAATTCATAATTATATGCATTTCTGGGGTTCAATGTAATGTTTTGATATTTGTATACAATGTGACAATTAAATCAAGCTAATTAACATATCTATCACCTCATTTACCTATCTTTTTTATGGGGAGACATTTGAAATTTAGCCTTTAAGTTATTTTAAAATGTAGAATATATTATTATTGACTGTAATATATTATTATTTGCCGTGCAATACATTGCAAAACCTATTCCTGGAGTCTACCTAAAATTTTGTACCCTGTGATCAACAGCTCCCTATTCCCTCCCTCCCTATCTCCCCCAAACTCTTGGTCATCATCAGAATCTTTATCTTTTAATTACCAAAGTATCTCCAACTTATCTGTGGCAGGAGATACTGGCCATTGTAATTCTTGCTCAGCTATAAATATCTGCACTGTATATAGATTTGGCAGCGTGCATATTGACATTATAACCAAAGCAACAAGTTGACAGTGATTTTCATGTGGTTAAACTAGATTTTGGGAGGGCTCTTTGTATATTTCTCCCCAAATCTTCCCTTGTTATTTTTGAAAAATCTTCTTGGGACTATGGTGAAAGTATTTGATTTATTTGAATTGTAAGGGAGACAGTGGTGTTTTGCAGCATGCACTTGTAATTACATTGTCAAGTTCATATTCTCACCTTTTCTTGTTATACACGTTTTTTTTTTCTTTTTTGGCAGAACTGGGTTTGAACTCAAGGCCTCATGCTGGCTAGGCAGGCATTTTTACTGCTTGAGCCACTCTGCCAGCCCCTTTTTTTGTGATGGGTTTTTCTAGATAGGATCTTGTGAACTATTTGCCCAAGGGCTGTCTTCAAACCACAATCCTCCTGATCTCTCTCTCTCTCTCTCTCTCTCTCTCTCTCTCTCTCTCTCTCTCTCTCTCCAAGTAGCTAGGATTAAAGGAGTGAGTTGGCTTCAAACCACAATCCTCTCTCTCTCTTTCTCTCTCTCTCTCTCTCTCTCACGCTCTCCAAGTAGCTAGGATTATAGAAGTGAGCCACCGGTGCTTGTACACATTATTCTTGCTGAGAAAGTTTCAGTGTTTTTCCTTTCAAAGGTGCAATAAACCTATGCGTAGGCACATGAAACCTCCTGCTCCCACCATCTCTATGCCTTATCGCCTCCTCTCACACTGAACCTCCTTCTACAGTCACTTGTTTTCACACACTTACCTTAATCTTGACCTCAAGTATCAAGCAGGAAGGGATCTGTGAAATTTTTGTCATTGTATGCATGTTGCTACATTCAGTAAGGTTGGGTACCACAAAAATGTTACTATTTGTTTCCTATGTAACTTTGTCTTCCTTTATTTATTTTTAACCTTTGCTATTAACTGTGTTGACATACTATAATGTTGGGGGTCACACCCTAGTAGGCTCCTACCGTGTACTTAAAGGCCCCTTTATGTGACTAATGGAGGTAATCTATACCTGGTTTATACTTACAGTGCCTTCTATAACCTGCTGAAATTCCTACTAGAACCTCAACTCAGACCCAAAGTGTTAAAGTTCTGTCCTTTGGAGCACTTGAGATGCAACTCTCATAGATGCCACATGTAGCACTGGAATCCTTGTATGATGAGGCAGCACAGTGTTGAACTAAGTACAAGACACACCTACCTTGTACTAATGTTGTTTTTTGGAAAGAAGTTAGCAGTAAGGTTCCACAGTATAGGTTTATGGTTCTGTGATGCATGTTCTTAACAGAGATAATATAGAACAGGCACCAGTCTTAACATTTATACTCTGATGGGTGGGCACTGAGGATACCCATGTCTGTTCTATGCCTTCTTCCTGGAAATGTTCTATTGGTAGTAACAATCACTGGTTTTATAGTTCTCAGAAACCATAGCCTCTCTCCTTACAGAGTTGTGTGCGGTCATCAGATAAGATCTCTCTGGATTAACTCTAAGAGGCCCCCAGAAGAGCTGTCCTGCTGGAGTATGGAATGTTCTGCCAAGGCTCAGAAGCATCCTCAGAGCAGAGCAATAAGGAAGGTACCCAGTGTTGGCTAAGAGTAAAGGAAGAATGGTCTCTGTCAAAGCAACATAGGGTTTCAGGGTGGAATGACACTGTTGCTCTCTTACTATGGAGAAAAACATCCTAAAAATGGTACTCTTGAAGCTTCTTCCTCTTCCCCAGGCTCTGTAGGACCTTTGAGTTTAAGAATGAAGTATAAGTATAAGCCAACAGTGTTTAATAATTCCAAAATAGTTTGAAGCCCTTAGGAAAACTTTTATTTATTTATTTATTTATTTTATTTTTTATTTTATTATTCATATGTGCATACAAGGCTTGGGTCATTTCTCCCCCTGCCCCCACCCCCTCCCTTACCACCCACTCCGCCCCCTCCCTCTCCCCCCCACCCCCTCAATACCCAGCAGAAACTATTTTGCCCTTATCTCTAATTTTGTTGTAGAGAAAGTATAAGCAATAATAGGAAGGAACAAGGGTTTTTGCTGGTTGAGATAAGGATAGCTATACAGGGAGTTGACTCACATTAATTTCCTGTGCATGTGTGTTACCTTCTAGGTTAATTCTTTTTGATCTCACCTTTTCTCTAATTCCTGGTCCCCTTTTCCTATTGGCCTCAGTTGCTTTTAAGGTATCTGCTTTAGTTTCTCTGCGTTAAAGGCAACAAATGCTAGCTAATTTTTTAGGTGTCTTACCTATCCTCACCCCTCCCTTGTGTGCTCTTGCTTTTATCATGTGCTCAAAGTCCAATCCCATTGTTGTGTTTGCCCTTGATCTAATGTCCACATATGAGGGAGAACATACTATTTTTGGTCTTTTGGGCCAGGCTAACCTCACTCAGAATGATGTTCTCCAATTCCATCTATTTACCAGTAAATGATAACATTTCGTTCTTCTTCATGGCTGCATAAAATTCCATTGTGTATAGATACCACATTTTCTTGATCCATTGGTCAGTGGTGGGGCATCTTGGCTGTTTCCATAACTTGGCTATTGTGAATAGTGCCGCAATAAACATGGGTGTGCAGGTGCCTCTGGAGTAGCCTGTGTCACAGTCTTTTGGGTATATCACCAAGAGTGGTATTGCTGGATCAAATGGTAGATCAATGTCTAGCTTTTTAAGTAGCCTCCAAATTTTTTTCCAGAGTGGTTTTAAATTGCCTGGGCATCTCCCATTAATAAGTAACTGAGCAAATAACAGGTGGGAGTTTGTGTGTGAATGTTTGTGAGTTCAGGTGTCTGTGTCTTATAAGGATTTCGGACCCATATTGGTTATAAAATGTTATCTCAATAATAAGTAATATTCTCTCTGCTTGTCCAGAAGGTACTTCTAGTTACCATTCTTAAGATAGAAAGAATAACTTTGTAAAAGCAATGTTGTAGAAGGGGCTTATTTAATTCTGAGATAACTTTGAATTTTTTTTTTCATTTTCATCACATTTGTATGGTGTGACCTGTGCTGGCATTTGGACTCATCCAGATTCTGCCATTCATGATCTCTTTGTCCTTGAAAAAGTCCTTTAAGGCCTCCTGTGCCTAACTTTTTTCAACTACAGAAAAGGGATAGTTCTTGCTTTACCTCTACAGCATTTCTTCTGGCTCTAAAGAAGAAATGGACATATAGGTGGTTGCTGGTGGTTTTGGTGGAGTGTGCAGTGAGATTTTCACTGAGATGGTGTTTTAATATTCAGAATTTTAAGTTGTAGGGCAGTTTAAACTTCAAATTGAAGGACAGGAATAAGTAAATTTTCCTTTCCTTTTTTTTTTTTTTTTTTGGTGGTACTGGGGTCTAAACTCAGGGCCTCACACTTGCTAGGCAGGCAGTCTACTCTGGAGCCACTCTGCCAGTCCAGGAATAAGTAAATTTTCACAAAGACTTTAATGGCATTCCTAGAAAGGAAGAGAACAGAACCTCGACCTCTATAATTCTAATTTGAGACTACAGTCCTGCTACTGTAGGACTATCTAAAGGCCTCTGTATGAAAGTACTAGAAGGGTGCTAGAGTGTAAGCAGTCGTGGTTGATCTTTCATTGTTATAAAAAGCAAAGGATTCTGTCATCAGCACATGGCTTGGGTACGTGAATTTTAAGAGAAGGTAGTTGGGAGCCCAGGTCACTTTTGGCATGGGTCGCCCTCAGCTGAGCAAACAGCTTCCTAGACAAGGGTTTGCACTCTGTGGGAGAATGGGAAGAATTTTCTTCATAAAAGAAATGCCACAAAATGCTCCTTTTCTGTCCTGAAATGAAAATCCTAGATAGTATACACATATGTGTAATCCATAAAAATAATGTACTCTGTGAAATATAGAGGAATAGCAAATAGAAAACAATTTGGTTTAAAGTAACATGATCCCACCACATCAGAAGATGAAATGCTGTGGTCAGATATTGCAATTGTAGAATCTGTGAATACAGCAGCCCCTGATGCCAGCAGATGAAGGTGTAGTGGACTGGTCACTATCATTTCTCAAGTGCTGTAGCTGTTAGAAATGTGGTTTTATGAAGTGGTTAACTGCAACAGGTAATGTTCCAAGCAAAATAATCACCAGTCTTCCCTTTGATAGACATATTAATTGCATTTCTATAGAATTTAGTTGTATTGAAACTACAAAAAATAGTTTATGCTTATATATGAAACTGACAAATGGGACTGCATCAAATTAAAAAGTTTCTGTACATCAAAAGAAACAGTTACCAGAGTCAAGAGACAGAATGGGAGAATGGGAGAAAGTTTTCATTCAAAGACTGAATCCCTTATTCAAAAGATAATCCAGAATATACAAAGAGCTCAAGAACTTAACAGCAAAACAACAAAGAATCCAATTCATAAATGGGCAAATGAATAGGTAGTTCTCAGATGAAGAAATGGAAATGGTTGATAAATACATGACAAAACGTTCAACATCCTTATACTTAGAGGAAATGAAAATCATCTCACTCCAGTCACAGAGGCAGTCATCAAGAAAACAAATGTTGACAAAGGCTGGCAAGGATGCAGGGGAAAAGAACCCAGTGTTGGTGGGAATGTAAGCTAAGGCAACCACTATGGAAAACAGTATGGAGGTTCACTGAAAAGAAAACTAAAAATAGATTTACCTTATAACCCTGCCATACCACTTAGGCATATATTGGAAGGAGTATAAATCAATAAACAAGAGAGATATTTATGTACCCATGTCTATTGCATAGCTCTTCACAATAACCAAAATGTTGAAACAGCCAAGGTGCCAACAGGTCAATGAATGAATAAAGAAAATATGCATGTATGTATACATACATACATATCATGGGATATTACTCAGCCATAAAAAGTGAAATTATGTTATTTTCAGGAAAATGGATAGAACTGGTGATCATCATGCTGAGAAAAGCTGCACTCAAAAACCAAATATCCCATGTTCTTGCTCATTTATGGAACCTAGACCTAAAGGATGATGATAATGACAATAATAATGGGACACAAATGTGTATGAGGATTACAGGGATTGGGGAATCAGTGGAAGGCGGGAGGAGAAGGAAAGGAAATGATACTGAAGGGTGAAGAGGATGGAAGAATGCTACATATATACATATAAAGATTCCATAATGAAAGCCACCAAACACTTTTGAAGAAGGGGGGAGGAAGAGAAAGAGGGGAAATAGAAATATAATGGAAGGGTAAACTTGAGGTACACTGTACACAGGTATGGAATTATCACAATGAAATCCCCTCATGTGATTAATATATAATTCAAAATCAAAACAAAAATTTTGAGGAAAGAATGAAGGGAAGTTCTGATCATATGCTTTCATAATTTCATCAACAACTTTTCAAATTTGTCTTCCTTTCTAACAGTAAGGCAAATACTTGTCCTATAACTGCCTTCTTTCATAAAGACTTTAAGGCAATTTTTTAAAAGGAGTACAAAATGAGGACTAAAGGGGAAAAAGCAATGTTAGGTTTAGAAATCTGTGCCTGTGGTGTAAACATAGGGCTATGAGCTTCCTAGTGACCAAGACAAAGAGGAAAGTCTCTTTTAGTTACATTTTTTTAAAAATGAAGTTTCTAAGGAGAAGCAAATTGTCCCAGGCACAGAGAACAGAAGTAAATTTTCTCAGTTACTCATAAAAAGGGTATTTGGAGCTCTGATGATCGATTTCCTCAAATGCTCCAGAGTGACTGCCACTGAATTATATAGGACTGATTCGGATCGTCCCTCATTGTTGACATTCTGCAAAAGTCTAATTCTATAAAGGAAAATAAATGACCTCCAAGCAATCATCCTTTTTTACCGTTCATTTTCAGGTAAATTTTTGGGAAACACTGAAAAGCATGGAGCTGGAGGTCACCTCTGATGAGTAGTTTGAATGCAACTCTTCTCAGCAGATGCAAAAGTGCAAAGCCATAGCCTTGATACATTTCACCTAGCTGGACCATTCCCTTACCCCCGTAAAAGGTATGGGGCAGAAGAGCAGGCCACCTACCTCTGCAAGAAGAAGGGCAAGTGCATGGAAGAAGATGCAGAAATTTTGACTAAGAGAAAGAAAAATGAAACTAATGGTAATTTTATTTCCTTAACCGCTCTTCACACTTTTATTTCCTTCTTTAAAAAAAAAAATCTCCTCATGATGTTAAAAAAAAAAATATCCTTATGATGTTACCACAATCAGGATATGTATACAAATTCATCAATTTTCACTTAACTAAGCAGCATAAAATAGGTTATTACATTTTATATTACTGGAGTGTGCAGGGTGCTATGACATCATTCTCACTGTGGTTTCAGACCTTCCATAAAGTATGTAACACACCACATCATCAGTAAGTGATGCTTACTGAGGGACAGAGGCTGTTTAAAGAGATTGGGAGTCAGTAAAGGGACTACAGAGATAGTGGGAGGTGAGACCCACTATTAGGAGGATTCAGCCAAAATAGACATGAGACATAATGTGGGAACTTACACCTCTAGAAAGTTTAGGAACCTTTTGTGGCTCCCTGCTGCATGTGGGGTTGGGGATGCAACTTTATGTGTATGTCAAGATGGGGCAAGCACACCTTCTGAAACATTTAAAAAATAAACATGTGTAAGCTCTGCTCTTTCATAAAGAGATAAAAATGATGGGCCATTACAATGAAGTGATGTGATTTGGCAAGATTTTTTCTCTTTTAAGAGCAGCTTTTTCAGAAGTCATTGTCCCATAGCCAAGAACTCTTTTTACTTTTTCTTTGGAGGGGAGGAGCAAATTAATCTATTAATTATAGGGGGAGACACTGGTGTTTACATTCAAACTCTTTCCTCAATGCAAACACTTCTTAATAATCTACCCCTCACTTTGCTACATTTTGTGGTTCTCCCAGAGTTAAAACATTTCTGAGCTTAAATACAACCACAAATTCACTGCAGGCGTGTCCTGAATAACCTCTAGATTCTGATACTCCTCTTTTGACATTGTTTACATTTCTTTGCCCCCTTATTGCATTGTTTTGAAATGTGTCACTTTTCCTTTGCTCCTTTGCATAGTCTTCTGTTCCAAGGAGGGATGGGTAAATGCATTTTTCAAAATTCTGGTAGTTTTCTGCTGGTCAGATCCTGCCATAAAATTCCACCTTCTCCAGGGACTAGACATCAGTCTAGATTTATAGATAGACATCAGTCCCATTGTGTATAATTGCTTCATTTTCTGACAGCCTTAAAAAGTAGGGGGAGGGAATCCATCAGTTGATCTCAGAGAATTCCTTTTGTAGTAAGAGACCACTTCTTCTAGAGAAATTCAACCCCATGTGACTAACCATATAAAATCTTCCCTTCCCAATAAATGAATGGAAGTATCTGAAAAGACACAATGAAATTAGAGATGTTCAACCAATTTAATTAAGCAGCTGGGATTAATGAGAGGCTGGATTCTACTGGCAGTTATGAAGGCTCCTCCATTACCTAGTGTTCCGTTAATGAGAAAAAGCAATCAATGTGCATTCGGAATTTTTTCTTCTTCTCGGAATTTTTTCTTCTTCTTGCAAACACTGTGAAATTTGTAAGGTGCTAGTTTTAGTACTAAATATCAAAGTCTTATAAGGGAGAAAAAATCCTTTCTTCTATCAAAATAGGAGTGGATATTTTGTTGTTTCAAGCACAACAAGTAGTCTGTTTGCTTACAGCCCATACCTATATTTCAGATAGGTAAATGCAGTACAGGTACCACATCAAATAGAAAGTTGATTTCCTGACAAATTGATTCAGAGTTTAATTGTAAAGAATTCTTTAATTGGCTTTTAGTTTAAAGCTAGAGAAACACTTCTGTGCAAGGTTATATGAATCAATTTAAAATACCTGATGAGAAATTGTAATGGTGACCAGGTCCCTGGAATTCTGGAAACATCTGAAGAATTTAGCTGTTGACTATAATTCTTTTCTCTTCTTTAGAGCTCTGGTGGTATCCCTCCTAGAGGCTTCTCTGGGTCTTTCCTGAGAACCTAAGAATTTCTGTCTCTCTATTCATGGCTTTTAGAAATTTTATCTTCATTCTTTCTTTAGTTTGGGCCCTTTATAACCTCTGATAGAATAGAATTCCATGTCATTTTTACCATGGAGTTCACTAATAGCATTGTAGAGCTTTCAACCTGGAAGTTTCATCTCCTGCCGCATTGATCTCTCTTCTCCCTCTCATATTTTTTATCTAGCCTTACCCCTTCTACCCTCCCTCCTTCTCATCATTTTCTTTCTGTTTTTTTTGGGGGGGCACTTCTTTCTGATACACAAAATTATAGCAAAAGCATACAATTAACACCTAGTTTTATTTTGTGATAAAATAAAACATTATAGATAAAATTAATCTTTCTGATGCTTGTCATTATTGTTCTTATTGTTTTTAATGTCTACAGTTCAGATACTGTCCTCATGCTGTTCCTTAATTCTCTGGCTATGTGATAGTTTGGCTTTCATGTTTCTAAACCTATACCATCCCTGCTCTCTTCTTAGTCTAGTTGCTTGAGTCTTCTTGATGCTTTTAAGAAGCATCAACCCAAGCATCTAGTTGAAGGAACTAATCAATGGGCTGTGATATAGTCTCCTTATTTTAATCCAGCAGGGCAAAGTTGGAAGTAGGTAAGCTCTGGTACCCACCTAGCTAAAACTTGGCATTGCACCTAGATCTGCCCAGCTTTTTTCCATTATTGCCAACTCTTAGGTCTCTGGAGGTAAATTCAGACCCAGGAAGAAAACCTGGAGCTGGAGATGTCAGAGTCAACCCAAATGGGTAATCTATTGTCTAACAAGACTGATCTCAGCAGGAGTGATATTGAAATTGGCTACAATTCCAAGGTTCAAAGTCATCTCTTGGTGTTGAGTCTGGTACTTGAAGCCCCAGCTTTCCAGAGCTCCTGGAATTGTTGACAGTGATATAGAGGATGAGATGGAGGATGAGTATTGGGCTAGTGCTGGATGTATGTGGGGGACCTTCTTACTGGCTGTACCACCTGTATTAGATGTGTAGTGCTTAATTTATAAGCTTCTTTATGAGCTTCTTTCTGACCTTTCTTCCTTCAGCTTCTTTCCATTATTTTATGTCCTTCTCTGTTGGCCTTGACTTATGGGTCTGTTTGGCTTTCTCTCTCATGCAGTATCTGGTCAATTTGTTCTCTCAGTTGGTGAATTGTAATGATACCTAAATAGGAAAATAGAAAATATTGACCAGACTTATATAAAGCCTGCCAAAATTTTCTTCAGTTCTTCTCACTTTCATCAAATACCAGGGATATAATATGGTAAGTAATAGGTGCCTACAGGCCTCTGAGGTACAGAACTCATGCTCCAGAAAGTATTTGCTGGCAGCGGGCAGGGATTCAATTTTGTCTATAAAAAGACAATATTTCTGAGGAATAGCTCTCTTCCTATTTTTACATATTCCATTTTTAGCTTTCTTTTGCCTTATAACCCCCAGTGATTAAACTTGTGGTCTGTGAGAAATAATTGATCCACTTTGTCTCTGTGGTATTGAGCCATCTCTAATCAAGTTTAAATTACCATGTTTGAGGACTTTCTTACCTGTGCCCTTTTCAGGATTTTTAAGAAAAACAAACCAAATAACATATAACATCAAACAAAGCAAGACCAAATGAAATCATTCTTTTTCCTCCTAAAAATTACCAGATACTCAAAACTCAAATCACCAACAGGACTGCTCAGTAAGTGCCTCTCTGGAAGCAATAAGAGTATGGGGTCAAATGTCAGTGGGGCTTCTGGCTATCTGAACTCTAAGCTAACCCCACCATTTACCAGCTGGGATAAATGGGGGCCTTAAGTAAATTATCTAATCCCTTTGAATTTCAGTTTTCTCAAGTGTAAAACCAGGGTTAATGAAACACACCTACTTTAAGCTATTGAGATAAGCAGAGGTGGTGTTCACAGTTCTTAGCAGAGATTGGCATAGAATTAGCACTCAGGCATGATATACTCAATTACTGTTCTTCATCTGCCTCTTCCCTTTTCCCTCCTCTGCTGGTTCAAAGCACAGCCCTGCCTGGCACTGTCTGGATTTGAGCTTAGCTCCATCCATTCTTGTTAAGTTACCTAGCAAAACCATTCACATTTCTGAGGTTGTTTCTGTATCTAGGAATTAGTGATGATGATGGTATGTCTAAGTTCATTTAAATGTTTATCACTGTGCCTAAAGCAGGATGAATATCCAATGATTGTTTGTTATTATTATTATATGATTGTGTCAACCAACCCTTTGCTGTTTTAGAATTAGTGGGAATTTGCTGATAATTGTTTAAAAACAAAGACAGGATCTGGGGTTGGTGCTTGGGAAAAACCAGCTCAGGGACACATACCTGTTTTGTAGGTTTTTCTCAGCTAATTTCCAGTTAGCTCTTTTGCTAGATCTGCCTAGGATACAATCTATACACAGAACATTGTTTTTGCCCTTAACAAACATGGACTCTCTAAGCACATTGGCTCTTAGTTTGACTTCTATCTGAGCTAATTAGGCTGAGCCTAATCCATATAAGCTGTACTCTTCCTTTGTGTGTCCCATGGTAACCATCCACACTTTCCCTATAGTGTATTCAAGCCTAATGACGTGAAAGTAAAAGCTCAAGTCTGGCTCTTCCCAAACCATTAGGCAAGAGCCCTTTCCCTTACCCACAGCTGATAAGCAAATAGCAAGTGTTCTTAGTCTATAGCACTGCTGCCCGGCCAAAGTGGCATGGAAGTGGAAACTTTCTCTTTTGTCTTTTTTGATAGCAGAGTGACTCAGACTAGACTCTTGTCCATACCCAACAGAACTGCAGCACATCTGAAGTGCTTTAAATTAGGGGGTTATAAGAAGTCATTACCCCAAGTCATCAAAATAGTAATTAACTCAATAACCATGACATTAAGCCAGCTGTTTCCTTGAGGAATACAAAATTGGAAAGCAGTGCTGCAGTGTGCTTGACCCAGCCATGAGCTGCCATGAAACATTGCAAGTATAAATACTGTCACTATTACAAGTCAGGGAGGAAATGGACCAGAGAGAAGATGATGTGAATGAAGAGAGAAGAGAGCAAAAAGAGAAAGTATT